GTGGGGGAGTAGCAAACTGGGGGGAGGAATAGGTTAAGTCAGAAGAAATTAGTCAAAACTGGGAATTACCTGCAGCAGCCAAACACGTTTCTCACTGGCTTCCTCTTATTTTTTGCCTCAAGGTTTTGTGCTTTTAAGGGTCACTGTATCTGTCAGCAGCAGCCCCTTTCTGCTGCGTGAGTGCTGATGTTCTTGAGTCTTCTCAGCAGTTCTTCCAGAATACATTGCGCTCTCTCTGGTGTGGCTTAATACAGGTGGGAAGAAGCTTTCCAGGACCGTTTCTTCTTTGTTTTTTTCCTATATCTCTTTTTAAATTGCTCTTTGCTGTGAGCTGTAAGCAGTTCCTGCCACTCTAGTGGTAACCCTCAGGAGGGAGGGGATTGCAGAGAGCGTGCCTTGCTCTGCCTGTATTTTGATGCTTGTTGTCTCATGTCTTACTGCTAGCTTGAAAGCTCCTTTGAGGAGAGAGGGTACAGTATATGTTTTTACATTGTCAGGGAACAGCTGCACCTTTAAATCAGCTGCTTTGTGGTTATGAACCAGGAGAAAGGTTAAAGTAAAATTAATGTCTGGTGCTCCACAGAGAACAAGTGTTGCTTGCAGGAGCAGTGGAAAACGGGTTACAGCCTGACCCTGGAGTTAAGTTTAACCCTACAGCCTGTGCACAAGGAACAGCAGAAGATCTAGGTCATGGTAAAGGAAGTGCTTGATTCCCAACTTCAAATAAAAATTCAATGTATCTAAAGTTCAATTCTTAAAGAAAAAAGGAACTGCAGTCCAGTGGCCATGGTGTGTGTTAGGAATGGAGTTGAGATGTCCCCAGCTTGTTTACACATTTCAGTGCTGAGAGATTCTGGTGGGGTTTCTTGGCACTTCTGTGGATCAGTAATCTGTGCATATTGTGCAGCAGCTGCCAACACAGAATACTTGATATAAGTGTCCTGGAAGCTAAACACTCAACTTCTGTAACACAGATGAATATGCAGCCCACGCCTCTATTTAAAATGCAGGCCAAACACGGGCCAAATAGTTGTCCGAAGTGTCTGTTTAAAACACTACATGCTGCAGCCTGTAGTTTCTACAAAATGAAATCTTTAGAGAGTAGCTGTATTTGCACTTAAAGATGAGGTCATCTGCTGCCTGTTTGGTTGTTGCATATAGGGTTTAATTTGGCTTCCTTGCCAAAATCCTGATTTTACTTTCAGCTAACAAGGATATGGAAACTTTGTCAACATACAGCACACATGGCAGTGGCATGGTGTGGCAGTGAGTCACTTACAAGCTTAAGTAAGGTTGTGTATGAAGTCTTTTAAAATTGAAACCTTTTATCTTCTACTCTGGCATGATGTCCTCATAGGTGCTTAACCGCTGCCCTTCTTCAGTGGCATCAGAGGCTGGAACAGCATTTGCTGCATACAAGCCAATCTTCAAGCTATGTTTCTGGAAAGTTTTGTCTGCTTTTAAGGTTTCTTAAAAGAAAAAACGAAACGGAAACTTTGAGTCACAATTCTCCTTGATGCTGCCGCTGACCATGCAGCAATTTTTAAAGTGCAAATGTGTGCATATATTATGAAAAACTATAAGTGAGAAGTGATTAAAACAGTGGCATATCCTCAGTGTTTGTTTGCAGCTTATGTAAGAACAGTACACCCTCACACATGTTGGCAAAAAAATACTTTCTCAAATTCATGGAGTTGGCACTTTACAGTGAATTTTTCAGAATGCTATAAAAACTGAATAATCAAAAATGAATAATTTTGATAACATTTGTTTTCTATTATGTACTGGAATGTGATATAAAAGTTAAAACTATAAAATCCCCATGAAATATTTAAGCCTCTTTATAACTCTCTCTCTATTTTTTAACTTTTTTTCCCACAACATATTTTGGCATCTCATTCTGATTTTGAGATCTGTGAATTTTCTACAAAAAAAAGAATAATTTTCTATTTTGAACAGCTGCATTTATAACATTAAAAGAAGAAAGCTAAATATTTTAGAGAAATGTTTTAAGAGCCTCTTGGTGAAGATGCTCTGGTCAGAAGTTTCCAGGAAATAATCTTTTCTTCCTCTTCCAGCCATTTGTAACTATGAAATCACTAATGGTAACTTCCCTGAGATCCCACCAGGAAGTTCAGGTACATATTTTTTCTCTGTTGTGCTACTGTGAATTGGATTATTTTTTTTCACCAAGAGAGGCAAGTGTTTTCTGTGAGAGTAATTCCTGTATTTGAATTAAGTTGATGTCACAGTTACCAGGAGGATCAGATGGAGACAGCTAGCATATGTTTCTCCCAACTTTTAGCACTGTGCTATCTCTCTGAAGGCTGCAAGCAGGCTCCATTGTGCTAAGCCCGGTTACATGTAGTGAAAAAGTATTTCTTGTGCTCAGTAACTGCATTTATTGATTCTTAGGGACTGTCAGCAGGCTGATACAAAATATTTATCTGGATGGAAGCAGTGGAAAAGAACTAGCCGTAAATCATTGAAAAAAGTTCTCAATGAATTCAAGGAGTTGTCATCTTACCTGGAGCTTTGGCGACATGATATTCACAGCATAGAAGGTATTTATTGTCTGATGTCGATTTCTCCTCTTTAAAGTTGCTCTTGTTATTGGTAGTTTTACTTATGTGAGCATAATTTCAGATCTAATTCTATGCGTTAAAGAAGTTACGTGCTTCCCTTATTATTGCTGATGTAAAATCCATCATGGGGTAGAAAGAAATATATTGGAGAAAATTATTAAAAAGTCACGTTTCCGTTTCAGTTATATTGCTAAACGCTTACAGTACTTAAAAATAGCTTTAGTAATGTTTCTTCAGTTAACTCATTGTAACTGAGATGATAATCTGCTTATTCTGTATTTTCAATGATTTTATCATCTTAATCGTTGGCACATATTTCTTTTATTCCCAGGGAAATTTGGTACTGGCATCCAGTCCTACTTCTCCTTCCTGCGTTTTCTGGTCATGCTGAATTTTATAATTTTTATCTTGATGTTCAGTTTTGTTACCTTTCCCAGCATCATTTCTAAATATGGAATATTCAACAGTAGCTATGCTAAAATTCCTCCAAAGAACATAGGTAAACATCTTTGTGTACTGCTGTTGTTTGTAAGATTCCCCCTTTCTATCAGCTTCTCCTCCACCTCCCAGGACAAAGAAATGCTTTTTTATAAGCAGTTGGCATGTTTGAATTAACTCTATCTTGCAGTTTAATGGGCATTACCATTTGAGTGACTTTTCCTGCCTTTCTTTTGACAGAACTTCACTGCACAGTTTATAAACCTGGTGGTAATAAGGGACTTGTTTATTTCTATACTTACCTCAAAGATTTGCTGAGTGGCACTGTAAGTAATTAGATTTTTTAAAATTAGATTTCTGTGTCTCTTATAACGTGTAAATTGTGAAAACATTTTGCTGGTAAGGCATATGCATCACTGGGGTAAAATTAGCCTTTATCTGTGAGAAGGGGAGTTTTAAAACTGACTTTTACTGAGCATCTACAAGGCCTGGCAGGCCAAGTGCTGCAGCCTGCACCTCTCCTCCCCAGCTGCTAAACATTACATATTCGGGAGCACACTGCCTATTGTGCTCTCTGTGTAGGATCTCAGTGTCCTTGTCATAGAGCTCTTTGATTGGAAAGGGGAGGGATTTGAAGCACGTAATGTCTGCATTACAGTTTGGTAGAGGCAATGGCAGTGTTTATAAGCTACAGACTGTTGTAGCTTGCTGGGGGCCCCAGCAGTAACTTTAAGTTTACAAAATGATTGCTTAATACCAGGCTGGATTTAACTGGGCAGTTGCTGCTACTCTTACAAATTCTATTTAAACTTAATGTTTTCCCAGGGCTTCCTTGAAGTGACAAGTTTGTTTTATGGCTATTACACAATAGATGCTGTATGGCTTAGTATCACGAGGTACAACTTGCCACTAGCCTATCTGCTGGCTACGTTTGCCTACCTTGCATTAAGTCTCATCTGGATAATTGGAAGGTAAAGATGTTGGTATAGTTTATTTACTGCTACCTATTGCAGAGTTTACATTGAATTCTTGCTTATAGGGAACATGCTGCATTCTAGAACTCTTTCATATGGAAGTGGAGAATCTTTTGCTTGAGGATGCAGTGCCACAGTAGCCTTTGTCTGTGTTTGGGAAACTGAGCCAGCAAAATAAATAAAAATAAATAAATTTGAAGTATTAGTTTTTCATATGTGTGCATAACAAATCAATAAGACTCTCAACTATACAGAAGTTGTTCGAGGATTTTCTTTTGTTTTTTTTTTGGCCATCTCAGTGTCCTGAGCCAGACCTTTGCAGTGTTGGAGAAGCAATGGATGAGGTGAGAAGGTATGACTGTGGCTAAATGCAGAGGGAAATAACCTGTGTCAGTCATGACATCAGCTGACTTTGCTGCAGAACCTCAAACTGAAAGCTTCCCAGAGACTTGCTGATATAAAGCAAATGTGGCTCTTTGCTCATAGGAGGTGGTCATTTAGTTGTTGATGAGCCAGGTTGCTTGAGGTGTGGGTTTTGTTTCTTTTTCTGTGGATAAAATATGTCTTTTCGTGAATGAAGTAAAGTTGCATTTTTCTCTAGGTCTGTGGAAGGATTTAAGCAGAACTTGGTGCATGGTGAAGATCAATTTCAGAGTTACTGTAACAAAGTCTTTGCAGGCTGGGACTTCTGCATTACCGATCCAAATGCAGCACGGCTAAAACATCACAGCTTGCAATATGAGCTCCAAGTGAGTAACTTCCATTTTTCCATGATCATGGTTTCATATAGCTTAGATGGCTAAAAAAGAGAAATGTATAATTTTGCAGATAATGGAATAAGGATAAGAAGGATCGAAGTGGTTTATACTGGGGGCAGGGCAACCCACATCCTATTGCATGCTTTCTAGGTAGCTAGAATTGTGGTGCAATGTGAGAAGGATTGGCACCGAGATTGACAGCCCTTCCCCCATCCACTGGGGACTGAAGCCATCCTGTTATCTGCTTGTCTTATCTGCCTCTTCCTCACACCCCGGTCCTGCTTCCTGTGTTAGTTTCTACATAATCCAACAGGAAAAGCTTTCCCAGCTGTTGGCAAAACCCTTGTACTGTCAGGAATCAGTTTGAGTGATGTGGGTTATAAGTCTGCAACGTGGTAGGCAGTAGTTTGGGGAGGAATAAAATTCAGATGATACTCCTCATACAATCTGAGAGCATTGTTGCAGTGAGAAGATACTGAAAGTTTTTCACGAGAGTGTCTTTGACACACGTGCACATACAAAATGCTGATGCAGCCAATAGATTTCCCAAATCATAAAGCTCTTTGAAAAAGGAGTCTGAAAGGCTTTTCTGGTGAAACCAGTACCACCTTTTTGCTCTCTCTATGCTAGGAGGAGAGATTCGTGTAGTGAAACAATAACCTTTGAAAAGATACTTCCACTTCAAACCACAGAGCAGTAATTAACAGATTTCATAAATTACAGTGAGTTGGTTTCTACTGTAGTAAAGTTCACAGTCATCCTTTTTCATCATATAACCAGAGCGTCCTTCACTTACCCCACTTTTGTCTCTAGAACTCACACCTTAGAAGAACTTGCACCTTAATATTACTGTTCAATGGAAATAAGTCCTCAGAAAATACCTGGGTAATCTGTGCGTTTGCCCAGGTTAAATCTCCTTCACAGGTGATACTGTATTTTCACATCAGCTAAGGTGAAATATATCAAGTTTACATGACAAGCTGCTCAAGACTGTACTACTTTCTCTCTGTGCCATCCCCCAATTTTCCTTCACAAAGAGTAGGAGAGGGAAATTCAAGCCATAGTGGTGAGGACTGGCTACTACCTGCAGAACTAAGGAGATGAGTGGGCTGATTTCCCGGTTTCAGATTTTAGTACCAGGCCATCTGAGATCAGTCTCTCATGATAAACAGGCAAGTTGTCTTTCTGCCCTTAAGGAGATATGTTACTGATATAGTAGAGATGAGAGGATTACAAGACGCTTGTCTTTGGCTACAGGGCCCTCGGCCTGAGGAGACTGAGTACACACAGGCTTCCACTCCTGCATGGACCTGTTTGTGTCAATGAAAAGGCACTCTGAGTTTAATGTGCTTGGGCAGGTGGTGGAGTGACTCTCTTAGAACAGGCTATGGATTTCCACATCCCAGAGGTAGAAGACCTGGTGTCAAGTGTTGTGTGCTGCACCAGAAAGCTACACATCCTTTTTCTTTTGTTTGTAGACAGACTTGGAGGAAGAAAGACTGAAGCAAAAAATAGCGGACAGGACAATGAAAGAAAAGCTACGCATCTACTCTCTGAGAATATTTATAAATATAATCGTCATTGCAGTTTTATCAGGATGTTTTTACTCTATTTATAGAGCTACTGTCTTCTCTCAAGAAAACTCCAATGTAAGTATCAGATATGACATTAGGACAGATTCAGTTGGGGCTAGTGCTTACAGCAAGAGGAACTATTGTGAAAGTCAAGTATCTTAATATAGCACCTTTCATGCAAGGGGTCTGAAAACGCTTTCTACAGACTTAAACTTTTTTAGTAGGAGAAAGTGAGAAAGATTGAGAACCATGTGCAAAAAAAACCCAGTGATGTTTCCCTTGGATGCGAAGGCTTCGGTGTTGTGTGCCTTGGAGCTAGTGCAGCTAACAAGAAAAGCAGCCCTCACTTTCCTTCCCATGTAACTGTTCTTACCTCATTGTGATCTGCTAGTACAAGCGCTTGTATGTCTGAGCAGTGAACTGGCTAATAAGGGAACTGATCTGGTTAAAACAAACTTCATCATGATGAGTTTCTTGATCTGGTTCACTGCTCAACTGCAGAAATAAGCAGCAAGAGAAGGGGAGAGTAAAGATTATAATCTGTATTGTGGCTTGAGTTACAGCTGTATGGGGAAACAGGAAGACTTTGAACATGGAGCACTTTGCAGAAGAAAAGGTTCTTGCATGAGTAGTGGAAAGAATCAGGTTGGGTGGAATTGTTCCCCCCTGGCAGGACAAGCAGATGGGAAGAAGCAGAACAACAAGAGCAGACAGCAGTTTCAACAGTTTTGCAATAGTAATTGACTTCTCTGTAGGACCCCAGGGTTGAATTAGCCTGGCATGAACGGAGACCACAGTTTTTCTCTCCCTCTGTTCATTGGTGATGTGATGGGCACTGGCTGTGTATGGGGAAAGTTGTACTCGTGGTGGACCTAACTCGAAACTTCCCTAAACTGACAGGATTGCAGAGAGAAAAGCAGGAAATGGGGACTAAAAAAGTGTTTGTGTCAGAGGTATTTTTTCAGGGCAGAGAAAGAGGATAGCACAACACTGAACAACTCAAAAAAACAGCCTCCCTTGCTGTCGGCTTTATGTATAAGGGTTTATGTCTTGACCTTGCCTAAATGAGTAGGTAGAGGAGCTTGTTAAGATAGTAGGAAAGTCAGGGGAGCTGCTTGGCACCAGCGCAAATATCTTGAAAAGTGTCTGCTCTTTGGCATAGGTGTAAAAGCTGGTAGCTGTAACACTGGGTTAGACAATGTAGTCAGACACAAGCCTTGGTGAGATCAGCCTCTTCAAACAGAAGCTTTGGGGAAACGCTAAAATACTCATACCTGGAGGTGGGGGGAGTTACAGGTGAAGGGAGCAGGAGAAAGCAAGGGTGTAGCAGCAAACTGCAGAGATAGCAGTGGTCTGCCGTGTAGTTCCAAATATAGGTGGAGGATGAAGACGGAGTAAAGGATGCTACGTGAATCCTGGACAAGAGAGGCTAGTGGGTAGCTGGAGAGAACACAATGACAGGAAGGTGTGTTTCTCTGAGTATTATCTTTCATCTCTTCTTGTCCAGGGCGTCAGCAATATGAACTTGCAGGCTAATCTCTTAGTGCAGTATTTGCCTTCCATTGTGATCACATTGGCCAACTTCATTGCTCCTCAGATCTTCTCATTTCTGATCAGATTTGAAGATTATTCACCAGCCTTTGAAATCAGACTGACACTCATGAGGTAAAGACGTTTTTATTGTGGCCTTGGATGTGTCAAAAACTTATTCTTGGTAGGTTATAAGTGTAGTAAACTTCGAAATGTCAAGGAGAGATGTTGGACTCTCTGCACTGGAGGGCCTTGGCACTGGAAGCCGAGCAGGCATTGTTTGACTTATGTTTAGTTGGAAACTTTAATTTTAAATCTGGAAACAATCTCCTGTTTTGATGATGGTATAGTGCAGTCATTTCAGTGTCCAAGTTCTTCTCTCAGTTCCATTTAGCTGTGTGATCTGGACATCATCAACAACCTGAATAAATAGTCAGTAGAGAAGTGGCTGCAGAGCTGTGGATTCACACAGCTTTGCATGCAGCAGTTACTTGAATGAGCAAATATGTGTGTACAGCAGCGAGTGAAGCATGACTTTGCTCAGGGCAGAAGTTAAAAGCTTTGGGCTAAAAGATACTTCAATGTGAGAGCATGAAAAACCGACGTTTGGCAGTTTAAGGTGGTAAGATCTGGGTTGAAGCATCTAAACTCTGCAAGCCCCTGTGCTTTGTATTTCTGATTTGGCTAAGTGCCTCTGAAGGCCTGAAGTCACGTGAGAGGGAAATGCTGCACACAGAGTTGTCACCTGGCCTCTCAAGCTGTACTTGAGAGAATTGCAGCCCATTGTGGGATCACAATCTGCAACTGAAATGACTGATCTAGGAAGAATACTGAGAAAAGAAACAAGGAACTGTAGCCTAAAGCAGGGAACGTGAAAAGCAATTTAACTTATTACGAAGGAAAGAAATGTGTTTATTAAATAGTTGGTCGTTCCATTAAAGCTCCATAGGACCCTTTTGTGTTTTGAGCCTTCCTTGGACTCCTGTGCAAGTTGAGCCAGGTGTTAGAATAGCTCTTTTTTGGCAGGTTTGGAATTGGGTTTTGCCTTTCTTCCAGGTGTGTCTTTGTGCGTTTGGCCAATATCGGTGTTCTCCTGTTCTCGCTGTGGAGTCAGATCTCCTACTGTGCCACCAAGGAGTGTGTGGCCTGTGGATACAATTACGAACTCTATCCTGTAAGCAGATTTATCTTGGTCTTTAATCATCTGAACTTGTGAATATAAAGTTTTGCTGTCCGTGAAACTTGCTCGTCTAGACATATTCAGAATAAGACTTAGAGTTGCTGTTGATGTTATACCTGGTGCTGATTCTTACTGCTTGATGCAAACCAGTACAGTTCTTTCATATGTCTAAAACGCTGATTAGAATTAGCTCAGTGGCAGATTATTGTTTTGCATAGACTTTCTGACTGCCATGAGGATTGTTTGAGGTAGCTCTGTTTTGGAGACAATTGCCTTACTGCCTTTTGCTCCAGTAAGACAAATATTTTAGGAATGGGAGTTAACACAATTTGAACTTTATGGTGTTAACTGACTGAGAGGTTTGTTGCTTTAGTGATTGGCAGATTTATTTTTTCACTGGTTATTTAGATTCCTAATCTCATTTTTTTCCTGACTTGTTTTTATAGTGCTGGGAATCTGATGTTGGGCAAGAAATGTATAAACTGATGATATTTGATTTTATTATAATTCTTGCTGTGACCCTCTTTATAGATTTTCCTAGAAAGTAAGTATCTCTGCCTTTTGAGCATACTTTTGCAAATGACTTACAAAACCTGTTTCTTTTTTCTTTTACTAATTCCCCACATTTCTAACCAGATTACCAGTTTTAAAATAAATAATAAACATATTTCTGGTAGCTTTTTATACTTGAGTCTTTTTTTTTTTTTTTTCCTTCAGACATTTTTCTGTTATGTTGTCTAATGCTTAAATGCTAAGTATCTGTGTGTTCCAAATGTGTTTAGAATTCAGCTAAGCTCTGGAACTTCAATTTAGAACTAGTGATGTTCTTTGGTTTTAGGTTGTTAGTTACTCATTGCTCTTGCAAGCCAGTTCAGTGGTGCGGATTGCAGGAATTTGGAATTTCTGACAACGTCCTGGAAATCATTTATGGGCAGACTATCTGCTGGATTGGAACCTTCTTTTCACCACTTCTCCCTGCAATAGCAGCTATAAAATACTTCATCATCTTTTACATTAAAAAGGTAATGAAGGTTTGTGGTAAACAAATCAAATTGAGCACAGTGGTTTTTGTAATGTAGATATGCATCTGATTTAAAACAAGCAACCTAAAAAAAGCCACCCAAGGATGCGGTGTACTGGAAATGAGGTAATGGTATTCCGTTTTCTGTAGGTTTTTTGCTTTTAAAAGAAGGTAGAATTTTGCTTTGAAATCAAGCAAAACAATATTTTAATAATTACATCATCAATTATTTGTCTGACTTTTTAAAAAATAGAATCTTTTTATGTAATAAAGCTAGTTTATAACACTTTTCTACAATAATCTGTTTAATGACAACAGGGCTTGAACAAGATTTTGCCAAGCTGCTAAAAATTTGGAAGCAAAATGGATAATCCAAGCTGGATTGGATGTTCAAGACATGGTTTCTGCATATCAGAAGCTTTGCTCTATGACCAAACAGCTCCTTCTGTGCAACAAATTCTTACTGATATTTTAGTTCTTATGAGGGTGCGTGTATCCAGTGAGGATTTGACAGATCAAAGCTGAAGGTTGTGCCATGGATCATACACCAAATTACTATGTCAGTTGACTCTCTGCAAGTGTATGAGGCCCTCTGGATCAAATTCTTGCCCAAAATAGGAGACATTGACTTATACCAGAATGTAAAGCGTTCTTGTCTTAGCCTTTTTCAGTCAATGTTCATCAAAGGAAGGATGATTATGTGGTAGCTGGTAGCATATTTGAGGATGGAAAATTCAGTTGGTGGGGAAAGTATACTTGGATGTATGTATATAGATGTACTGGTAACATTCTTGCTCACTTTCCCTCTTCAGATCAGTTTGATGCACACATGTAAACCTGCAGCTAGGCCTATCAGAGCATCAAGTTCCAATTTTTTCTTCTTGTTGGTACTGTTGATTGGGCTCGTCTTGGCTTTTATTCCTTTGGGAATCAGCATAGCACAGTAAGTGGCAATTTAACTTCCGTGAAGTTGACATTTGCTCTAAGGTTGTCAGTTCCCTAAAAACAGACACACAACTTTGGAATGATAAATTGGAATAAAATATATTGTGTATAATAAATTAAGTTATTATGTAGTTCATATAAATAAAATTACAATTTTAAAGACAAAGGATGTTTTTACCCCATCAGCAAAATGGTGGTAGGGTTGTGTTTGATTATTTTATCTTTACATTTTGATCTAGCATCTTGTTTCTGTTCTGCTTCTTTGACAGTATCCCCTCCTCCAAGGCATGCGGGCCGTTCAGAAATTTTAACACTTCATGGGCAGTTGTTCCACATACAATACTTGGGTTTCCAACAGGTCTGCAGCAGGTTCTTCATGGCATAGCATCAGAAGCCTTTGCAGTGCCTTTTTTTATGGTCATCTGGTGAGTACTGTGGAGACCTGATTCAGTCATGCAGCTGCATGGTTCATTTCCTTCCTTACTGAACTGATACCAAACAACTATTAGACCAGCTTTTTCATCTGCAGGCAAAAGCATCAAAGCCCAAACCGTGATTTTAAAAACCCAACAAAACAAACCAAACAAAAGCCCGAACCCCATAATTCTGTAAGATAAAATTCAGTATAGAATCATAGAATTTTTAAGGTTGGAGGTCACCTCTAGAGATCATGTAATCCAACCCTCCTGTTCAAAGCAGGGTCAAATAGAGCAGGTGCTTAGGAACCGTGTCCAGTTGGGTTTTGAGTATCTCTGAAGATGGAGACTCTACAACCTCCCTGGGCAATCTGTTCCAGTGTTTGATCACTCTTTCAGTAAAAAGGTTTTTTTTTCTTAGATTTAAATGGAATTTTTTGCATGTCAGTTTAACCCAGCTGTTTTCAAATCTTGGAGCCTTGTTACCTGATACTTTCTACAACTTCTATGTGTGAGAAGCTGTGTAGTTTATTTCAGACTCCACCAAGCCCTTTCTTCCATAGCACATGTTTATGTGTTCTTCTGAACTGAACCTGTTATTGCATACACAAGAAATAACAAGTCCTCTTTTTTGGTTTGTTTTTGTTTTTCTTTTTTTACTTTATCATAAAGCCTGTGTAAGAGGTAGAAGATGACTTGCATTGCTACCCTACTACATATTTGGAAAAGAAAATATGTGATTTATATAGGCATTTATGCCATTCTAGTTCTTGCTACTGGTCTTCATCATTTAATGCACTGTGGATAATCTGGGTCACAAATTGTATCTGGAATATGTACTATAAGGAATACCTGCAGTACTGATCTGTGGCTGCTTACTATAATTACAAATGCCAATGGGAGCAAAGAGTTACTCCAGTGAAACATCCTTAAGTTTAAGTTCTGAGGAGCAAAGCCCCCGTACATACACTTAGAGCAGGGCAGGAACTGGCAGTCTGGAGAGAGCTGTCAGAACACAACCTGTAACATCTGAAAGTGGCCATGCCTCTACATCCCCTAGCACTCTGTCCCTGCCTGCTGGCAGCACAAATTTCTCGGCAGATGCTTTTGAGCAGAGCTATGCCCAACCTACCCCAGCTGTATATTGATTTTTAAAATTTTTTTTTCCTCCAGCAGCTTCCTGTCTGAAGCAAATGCACAAACTGACAATTTCCCTAGCCCATAACAGCCTTTTTCTGACTAATTCTGTTTTGCATGATGCTAACATATAATGTTGGTTTGTTGTTTGTAGCCTCATTATGTTCTACTTTATTGCCTTGGCTGGAGCACACAAACGAGTGGTTGAGCAGCTGAGGGAACAACTGGTTATGGTAAGATTTGACCCACTTTTCTGTACCCCTAAAGTTTTCTTTGCGGTGTCAGTAATCAGGCATGGAGATGAACAACAGTTTTCGTAGTCTTCTGGATACTTGGTGTTTGCACAGGGAGTGAAGAATGTTTTACAAATTACACAGGAAAAATAACTGCAGCACTATACTGTTTCTCAGTAAAGTTGGTTTTCTTGGGTATCAGCTGCAACTGCAGCAAGGTCTGGTTATATCAAGCAACACACATGCATGAGATACGCCTCTGAGAAGCGGTGTCCCTGCTCTTCATCTGTTGTCTTGCTTAAATCCACCCATCTGCATGGTTTTTTTTCTGACAAACAAGAACCTGAATCTTGTGCTTCCTGTCCCCTCTGCCATCTTACACAACCCCCACCTCTATTTCCTTCTCTGCTCTCGCAAACAGGCACCCAACTCCCTACCCTTCCCTCCAGGCCTGTGTTTCTACTGCATCATGTCTGGTCTTAGGCGAGTGCAGGTCCTAACACTGCTTGCAACAGGTACTCAAAGTGGAACAAGTCACCATGAACTAGTCCTTTGGGGAACGGTGCCAGTGCAGACATGCTTCTTTGTGGCCATCAAAAGCTGCTGCCTCGTTTGACACCATTTATATACTGTGGTCTGTCAAACTTTGCTCTAGTCAGAACTTAGCCTCACTGGTAAGACTTCTCACTTTCTTCGGAAATAGCCATTTCTTGGTATGTGCTCCTTTTAGATACAACATTTAACAACCTGTCCCTAGGAAAACACTGTGCTAGGGAGAGATTTTTGAAGAGTAAGGAATATAGGAGCAAAAGCCTTACTGCTTTTTCAAGGGTTCCTAAATCAGTTAGGAATTTTGAAAATCCTTGCATGCTTTTTATTTTTGTTTGTTCAGTGTTGTTAGGTTTCTTTGAAGTTTTAAGTTTTTAGGCGTCTGAGATGTTCTTACTAGGCTCAATGCAAAACTGTTAATATGTGATCTAACATGCGATAAATGACGCCAAGACTATTGTAAACTTAAAATTGTTCAGGCAGTCAAGAGTGTGCGGGGAGCCACTAATTAGAGTACAACGTGGTGAGTGCACCTATTTGTTTCTAATAAAGAAATGAGCTGTTCATGGATAACTTGTACTACTTCTGTTCATCTAGAGCGTACTTTTTATCCTGTCTTTGCAGGAGAGTCGTGACAAGTTGTTCTTAATCAGAAAGATAACAGAAGCGCAGGGGCATCCTTGAAAACCACGAAAAGCCAGAAGAACTTGACTTCCTGAAACTCCCATAACCACTAGATAAGAGTAGAACCACCTGCAGCACCTTAAAAACTGAGCAGCTGACTGGCACCCTGGCACTGCGGTCTATCTAACGGATGCTTATTGTCTTAGTCTTGATTATGCTAGTGGGCCTTAAAATTTCCAAGACTGGAAATTTAGCTAATTTATACCATGTTAGACCTCTCCAAGAAATTGTGTGGTAGGACACTTTATTGCTGCTACAATTTCAGGGTTGTTGGGGTTTGCTAAGTCCCTGTTTTTTCAGGGATTTTGGGTAAAATGTGATCAGAACTGAAACTCTGTTTAAGAACTTTGTACTGTTTTTACAAATTATGCTTTAAGAATGGAGAGGGAGGGGAAAGGTGTGGTTATACATGTTTCCAACTCACCTCTCTCTTGAAACTGAGGCAAAAGAGAGAGAGTGCATAGGAAAAGAAAATATGGCATGAGTTTGAAATCAGTTTTCTAAATAATTTTAGAGAAGAGACTTTGATATTTATTTTGCTCTGAAATAGCAACTGCAGTTGAACACTGGATAACTTCACAAAATGGTTCAGAGAAAACAAGCTGATAAAAGAGCTCCGAATAAACAGTGGGAGTCAGAAGAGACCACCAGTCAGGTCACTGAGCGGTGCATGCCTGTCTCAGGGAAAGTCATTGCTTGGGTATCAGCCTCACTTCTGTGGAGTAGCCTTTTTTTGTTTTCTTTTTAAATGTGTTAAGGCATTATTACTTGTGTTTTATTCTTGTACAGACATCTTGACTACTGTTCTCTTTGTTCTAAAATGTGAATATTTGAGAGTTTAGTTATAGTTTGGAAATAGCAGCATTCAGAAACTTACCATAGAATCCTAGAAAGGTTTGGTTGG